CATGGGTACTGGCCGACTGAAGATATATTTCTTGAAGGTTGGCATATATACTGCATAATATTCATCGTGGAAAAAATCAATGTTGATTTAGGTGGGAAAACATTTTCTAAGACGGCTAAAAGCCCAATTCCAGATAACATATAATATCATTTGTATCGTCAATAAAACACATAAAATACAAAAACAAGATAACAAGATAGAAATACAACATTTGAAAAATAAAAGCTTAAAAAGTCATAAAACAAAGTCGACTGGATTGCTCGAAAGTAAAAACAATTCACTGTCAGGGAGCTCTCCTTGTTAAATCCAACTTATAAAATAGAATTAATACAAACATGAAAAATATAATGTTTTTTTGAAAATAGTGGCAGTCTTTGTTGCCGTGTTTTGCACATGTGCTGATTTTGAGTCGCGAAAAAATGGGGACCGATTTAAGGTTTCCAAATTAACAAATATATTTTCTGGATCCGGATCTATTATGATCCGAAAAAACAAAAGGATACCCGCATCACATTTAGAGTCTTTATTTTTATTCTAGATATGTTATTTAGCATTTATATCATATAATCTATTTCGATTTTTTTAAATTTTTTTAACTTTTAGATTACTTTTAAAACTGGAAGTGGGCCTAATATACTGACAAGTCAAAAATATATCTGGCAAACTAAATTTGATTTAATAGATAGACCTATGATCGATATGTTCCCAACATTTATGGAAACTGAAGAGAAACTCCGACAGGACGCAGTTTTACCGGTATTTACAAACAAAACTGAAGGAGTTGGCTCGATGGGACACACAGATCCAACAATGAGTAAATTCTTCATTAAAGACGGAAACCCAATATTATTCGGTGAATTCTTTAGCGTCATAGTTGAAGCCCACGACGCAAACGGTCGTCATCGTGTCCAATGTGGTGACTTTTGGGTTGTTTCAAATGCAAATAGATTTGCTACTGCAGGAAAAGTTATCGACTTTAAAAATGGAACTTATGAGATGGTTTTTTTTTCGCCGGGTGGCACGGAAAAATGCAAGAGTGTATCAATAAGAATCGTCAATAATTTCACAATGAATCATAGTAACAGACAGTACGAATGCCTTTTTCCCTCATACTTTTCACAAAAGTTATTAAGAAAGTATTCAATCGCCTCCTTTATTTCACATCTAGTTGCATCCTCGCATTTCAGAATTCTACAAACTGGCCCTGGAAAAAAAAGAAGACCTAAAAATAATAATAAAACAAATTAAAAAAAAGACATGCAACACAAATAAAATTTTGAAAATTAGTGTTTTCATTGACTTTGGTTTTTGTGCAAGTTTACTTTAGGTCTGAACTATTGATATAGGTGACATGTCTCCTAAACCCTTTGGGATTACGTACAATCATCACAGCAAAATTATGACAAATTATTACAGTTTTTTATGCATTAGAGCAGGGAACAGTGAAATTCCCTGATTAGAGGGGTGAAGTGAATGTGAATAAGAAGATCTAATTTTAATTACGATACGTGTTTTACGCTAATGGCGAAGCACTTCCACAATTGTATCACAGAGAAATGCGACGCAATTATTTGCCTAGAATTAACCACTCGGTCTTCAGCAAGGCCTGGCTGTAAAAACTAAGAGGCTTGGTGCACAAAAAATTTCAAAGAGGTTAAATTACAGCATTTGTATAATTAATACAAACAACTAATGTAAAACAAGAAATTTTTGTGACATGAAACTTTCGCGAAGTGATAAGGGCACTCCTGCGCACATTAACAATTTGGAAATATTAATGCGGGAATAAGAAAAAAAACCCACACTCATCACATTTAAAAAAAAAAAAATTAGTATTAATCTAATAATTCTTTATATGTGCCCTAACACCTGAATTTATTCATGAGATAAATACCATACAATAGATCATCTATGATGAAAATATTGTATCATGAGTTCTAGGCTAGAAAAGCCTACAGCCTCTGTCTAATGCTAGCCAAGCCCAGGCATAAGCCTGCCTATCTTCTAGGGTTTAGCTGGCCAAACACAACTAATAATTACATGATAATTATAAGATAATTATAATCCCCATTAACATACGATATTCCTAAATTTTGTGAAATTATTTTGCACATGAAAGTTTGCTGTAGCTGGTTTTACAGTATTAAACACTTTGATTGCCTTAAATATGATTTTATTAATGTAACATCTTGCACAGGAGAAATAATAGAGATGATGTTGATTTCAATTTTATATTTATTCGGATAAGAACTAGGATCTAGGAATTATGAGAACATAAGACAAACAAAGCATAACTGGAAAAACTCCCAACTTGACCGGGCACTATGCCAGCATACGTCAAGCTAGAAAATAAAGTAGAATATAAAATACAAATATCAATATTCATACTGCAATGTCCTGTAAATAATTAAAGCATTCATTTAATGTACAGTTATTGAGTTATTGTGAGGTACAATTACAACTGACATTCACATAATAATAAATGCATAAGATTAACTATGGCATAAAACTTAGTGGGAAACCCTTGGCCTGTTACCACAAAATAACACCTATATTAATAATCAATGCGTCACTACGGTACTGTATATACAAGTGTGCATATGCAACATATTTCAAGTTAACATAGATAATTGATTCAGTAGGCTTATTGACTTGCTTCAAATTATAACTTGCAAGCAAGAATCATTTAACTAAATTCCAACAGTTAACTAGTTATAACAATTAAAATGGTAATTGGCGTCATAACAATAGTTATCAATATCATGCATCATAAATAACCAATCAAAAATAGTAACATGCATAATAACAATAATCCGTAATATTTGTAATAATCAAGTAATAAAATAGTCAGCATTATGCATAAAACATAACAATCCATAATGGCAATAAAATAATAATCATAATCTAATCATATCTATAAGATGATAGCAATTCAAACTGTAATCATTTATAACACATCGTAAGAATAATAATGATCATAATAACACATCATAAGAATAATAATTAGAATGATCATACTATAACACATAATAATAATACTACGGTAACAAATAATAATAATCTATAGTCATTACTGTACACTATCATCAAATCAAGTTAATCAAACAAAGGAACACAATCCCACCTTTCATTAGCTACATTAGAACAAAATATTATTTCGAGGGGACGAAATACTATTTTGTTCTCTCTAAACGATTTCGTGAACAAAGCGCAGCGCCCTCTTGAAGCACAGCACACAATGTCATGTGATGTTATATCTACCCGTTGATAAAGTTTTGAATAATTACTGAATACTGTACTACCGATGTGTGAGGACCTTGCTGACGATTTTTTTTTATCGTTGTTGGTAATTTTTGAGTTGCGGTATGGGTCTTTATAGATCAAAAAGTATTTTCTTCCTGTCTGCTACTATTACTTTAGTTTTCCTAATGGTAAGTAACATATTTAAGTAATACAGTATTGCCATGTTATCAATGAGCAATTTTCACTTTATTCGATTTTATTTTGGCTGTTAAAATTACATCCAAGTGTTTCCATATTAAAACTACGCAGACAATACTTGTCTTGTTGGAGTAATTTCGAATGATATTAATCAATATAAACTGTTCGTTTGCATTGTGGTGTGAAAACAATTTGAAACTTGATCAATTAATAATTTGTATTCATCCCACATGGGGGGATTATGAAAAAAACAGGACTGAATACACAAAATGTAATTAAAAACATGTATACATATAAATACACAATAATAGTACAGTTTACATACAAGTTATCAAAGGCCTATACAGTAATAATATCTTACTTTATCATTATATTTCTTTGTAGAACATTTAATTGTTTATTATTCTTATTTAAGAGCCTAATACTGCAGGTTGGAACAAATGCATTTAACTTCCTTTATGCCCACACACAGGGCATTCGTATTATACCTATATATCATGGAAGAGGTCATGTTTTGGGTTTTCAAACTATATTTACATTTACCTAAAATGTATTCGTCACAAACGGATGGCAGACTACGCAATGGGCTTCCAGTTATTTTTTAACACAAATTTACTATTTTTTGCATAGCTGACATATTAAATTACCAAACCAGCGTATGAAAGAAAAGGTTATGAGGCTCTCAACTAAAGAGTTCTAAAGATCTTTTAATAGACTTATTTACTCTTAAATTCATGTTTCCTGAGTATGCATAATCCCTAGTTTCCTTTTCTAATTAAGGAATTAGCATTTAATTCCCAGCCAGGATTGTTTTCAAATTTAGTACCAAGGTAGTTGTAAAAAAATCCTAACTGGT